TAACAGCCCCGGTTACTGGATTTCAGTTGACAAATTAGACCATTAAAATCAGCCATTAAAATGCCTTACAGTAACAACACAGTTACGAGACATAATGTCTGAGAAACAAAGACACTGAGACACTGAGAAGGAAAGTTGTACCAGTGTGACATGACCTGCCTAGCGATTTGGTGATTTATGGATAAAGCTCCGAAGCAAAACGTTTGCTTTACTACAGCAGCCGGTTTTGTGCAAAAACAGGGCCGAGCATAGGAAACGGATAAGAAATGTATTTAACATTCACAATGAGAAAAAGCGCCCACTCAACCGTGACACAGTACACATATTTATGCAAAATGCCCCTCCATACGCTGCAAATGACCTGTATTCAGATGCTGGAAATCGCTGTCTGTGTGCCCAAATGTACATATAATTGTGTTTTAAAGCAAAGCATGAGTGCGTAATCACCTTTTCTTGCACTGTCAGTCAAACGCTGTTCACCGGAGAAGCCGCACAATCACTCACTTCCACACACACTCTCGCCGTGACCGTTTTATAACATAAAAAAATAGCAGCTTTGCAGAGGAGTCCCAGTGGGAGGGTGTGACTAATGAATGTGTTTTCCTCATGGCGAACAGCAGTTGGCATGTTCATGACACATCTGCATACGGTAACAACTCTCACAGCTGTAATACAACATGCACATGACTGTATACAAAGCAGGAAAATGATCATCTTGAGTAAAAAAGCTGAGTTTAGGAAATCTCACGAGCCCTGACATGGAAAAAAAACAAGTTTTCCACTGTCTTTTATAGAAGGAGAAGAAAGAAGCATTTATCTCCACAAAAACGAAACACACTCATTTCTCTGGAAACAAAAGAAAAACAGCCCCCGGACTTAGAAAGCTTTTCCAAAGACCACTCATTCACTCACTCACTCACTCTCAGGTGAGTCAACCTAACAGCCAATCAATATATCCAGTGTTCTGCACTCCTCTCCGGCAACTCTTTATCTCTTTCTGCCTCTCTCGTACACACACGGACGCGCTCCCATCGCCAGGTTGGGACAGGTTGACACAAATCAGCACGCCGGGGATAATCCATAGGCTGGCTAAATGTCAGCGTCTCAATTCCATAAAGGCGTGGAGTTAAAACAGACACGAGAAAGCAGGAGGTTACCTAGAGGGATCAAAACTCAATGGGTTCTCAGATCTCCAAACAGGAAGAAATAAGTTGCATTTTCCCAGGGAGCAATGTGTTGTCAGAGATGGATGCATAAAGAAAGAAAAAAAATCACCTGGGAAACAGAAAGAGTTTGCAAAAGTTACCAAGATAGAAAAGAAAAAGATGATTTAAGTTTTTGTTTGGAAACACTTTCTTTAAAATGGTGCAATCGCTTAACTGTGATGTGGCATTTTTTTTACATAATCTTTTTTTGTAGAACCGAGGGAATAAAGCCAATATTCAGACTTCTTTCAAGTACAGATTTAGGCACTTTATACTCTCTATTTACAGTATTCAAGCTGCTGTGGGAGTTCCTTTCAACATCTCAAGAGAGCACTGCTGGTAGATGAAAATGTATTATAGTGCTTTGAAAAACAATTGAGCACCTAAGAAAATTACAAGTCAAATAGCTGTGAGTTCCACTTAGTAGCTAGTGGGCAAATGAGGATCTGGCAATTGGTTAGCATCGGGCATTATTTACATTGCCTCAAAGTGGATGGTGATGGGGAAGAAAATCAATGTGGATGCAAACAGTGTAATAGCAGAGTAATGTGTTCCCCTGGGCAAGCAACAGTGAAGAAGTCCTGTCAGGGTACCGCTGAGCAGAGGCAGAATTCACCTAATTCACTTGCCATTTTTACCAGGCCTTTCCCGCTGCCACATTCAATCCACATGCACATCTCAGCTTGTGGAGCTGGTGTTCAGAGCTGTCTTTTTCTGCCGCCTCTTCAGAATGCTAATTCCGTGGAACCGCCAATTAAAGTGCAGGATGGTAGAGATCGCATCCTATCAAGATCACATTCAGATATTCACAGAGGTGACGTCCTTGTTGGTGAATGATGGTGTTAATTGTGATTCGTTCCCTCCCTTTACCAACACATATACAAACAAACGTGAGCGCAACAAAGAAACTCAGAACATGCAAGCTTGACTTGCTTTAGTTTAAAATGCTGTGGATCGATCTGGGAAGCATGGTTTTGACCACGATCTCTTGGCCCTTCTTTTTTGTGTCAGATCAATGAACCTGTCAGTCAGGTATCAATCAATAAAGTTCAGACAGATTCCCACATATTGAACAACGGCTGCAATCGGATAGAGGGAGACCGACATCACCCACTCAAGAACAAGAAAGCGTTCTAGTCATTTGCAAATACCAGTAATTTATAGTGATATATTTCTTAAAGCCAATGGAAAGCAATACAAGATTGAAAAATGTAAAAAAAACAAACAAAAACAAGTATTCTCATATTAGCGACATGACCCTTTGGAGCTAAACTGTAAACCATAAGATCTGAAATACAGAAACAGCTTTTAAGCTTAGCAGCTGTGTACACACCAGTGTGATGAAATCAGAGAGCGTATTTGCATGATGAGGAAGAGAGAGAGATCATCAACCGTCAAGCCCCACTGAGTTGAAGGTTCACTGATCCATTCATTCACTGAGAGCAGAAAGGCTTTAGGTCAGCGTCATCAAACAGCCAAGCCTGACCTCTCTAATTGGCCACCAGCTGAGTTTTCAATCCTTGCACCCATCTCTCAACCTTACGTCCACCCTCTTCTTCAAAGGTCCTGCCCTTCCTTTCACACGTCATCACTAGTGTCTGCTCATTCCTTTACTGCTGTACTATAGCATCCCTCTTTTGCCCTCACCAATCAGCCACAACATTAATAATAATCTTTGTCCTCTTCTTGGAGAGTTGTTGAGAAAGAAGCGTTGAGCTTCACACAAACACACGAGGTTACAACCCTCTTCTCAAATCATCCCTGAAAGGGTTTTTTTTGGCCAGGCACATTAAGGAAAACCACTGCCATGAGGATGCACAATGTTTAGGTTGGTGCCCAAGCTAAATTAAAATGAATTCCAAGACCAAAGGTTTACAAGCAGAACAACGCCCTGAGCATCACATCGCCTCCTACGGTTTATCTTCTTCTCATATTGTATCCTGCTGCTATCTTTTCCCTAAGTAAACCAGCACCCAGCTGCTCACATTATGTAGCAGAAAATGCAATTCATAAGACCGGGCCACATTCTTCCATAGTAATACTCGCTGTGATTCACTTCACTTTCTCCACATCCTTAGTACTCCCTGCTCACTACCTCGACACATTGGAGGTAAAGTGGGCTGATGAGTTTTTAAAAATGAGAAAAAATAGCCAAAACTTTTACAAATCAGTGGTACAGTATGTGGGTAACACTTAAGCTAGCGAAACAGGAGAAAAAAAGTGAAACAATAGATGCAAGCCAGCTTGTCTGCATCGTGTCCTCTGTCTCTTGTACTTCCTTTTCCTTCCAATGTGCATGATCAACTGTGACTTGCAGTATCCATCACTTGCCAAAGCCCTTCTGCCTCCTCTCTAGTGACTTACTCCCTTCTGCTCTTCCTTGTTCTTTAAGACAGCAAAGCCATGCTGCAGGTGCACTACCATAGACGCCACTGGCAACAACTGCCACAAAGATGACACAGCCAGTAGAGAACTGGGCGCTTCCCCATGACAACATAGAGCAAATCAAAGTCTAGGACAAGAAGCTGATGACATCGTAAAATATGCAAAAGAAGCACAGTCAGGCGGCGGTCTGTGGGAGCCCAGGAAGCGATCAGCTCTCCACTGGCCAAGCAAAGATTCAACGAGACTTTAATATCAGACTACTAGGCAGAATTTTTTCAGTTCTAAGACCGCTCAGAGTCAATCAAGTTCTTCTTGGGAAGTATTTTTGCTTAACTACTAAGCGAATGAGTGAAACCGACATGAGGTTTCCTGGGGCCTCTCACTCTGAGATGACTTCTCATATATTCTTTCTGAACCTGTTTCCCTTATCAACAGTCTTTTTTCCCTCCTCTCTGTCTCTCAGAGCCTGTGTCTCAAGTGTTAAATAGCTTGTCCTTTCCTGCCAACTGCCTGTGGCTCTAACTCCAAAGTCTTCTGTCTTTCTTTTTTTTTATCTGAGCTGTCTGTCTCCGACACGATCCTGAAACTAAACCTGCATTTTTATATTATATCCGAGACAAAGGCAGCATGGCAGATTTTCCTGATGCATAAAAATGCATCTACCTGTATTCAACCAATATATAAATATATATTTGTTTTTCAAGCTAAGCTTGGCTATGTGTGGTCTCGGAAGGCACAAAACGCCGGTGTGTATGTGTGAAAGAATATATCTGTTTGCAACAAATCTTTAAGCGGCAGTGAAAATATATTAAAGTGTAGCTGAAAGTGTGAATGCTTTAGCATGCATGACCGTTTGTGCTCACGCGGGCTTCTCTCTGTTTCCGCGAGAATGGGGGTGAAACAACACTTTACGGCTGGCGGTGGTAATCGAGCTCTCTAATTACTTCCTGAGCTGAGAGAGTTGTCAGAGAGAGGAGGAGCTGCCACAGATGGTGAGAGACCCACGCTGACGCCAGGACATCCTATCTCTTCATCATTAGAGCCGAGCATGTGTGTTTGTGCGAGACTGAGTAATCGAGAGAATGAGTGCGAGCGTGTGACCATGATTGAGTGTTCAAATTACACTTTAGAACCAGAGACCATATGATATACCCAGGCTGAGTTTGTAATATAAAAGCTAGGTGCTGCCTATCAAACAAATTACTGTTATTGCCCTATTTCATTTTGAAGCTAGTACCAGCTATGATCCAGCTCCACCAGACCTACATACAGTAACACCGATCCACTTCCAACCATACTTCACCACACTCATTCGACCACCTGAAAAAAAAGCCTGCATGCCTGTGGTGCATTACCTCTCCCCCCTTCTCAGCTCTCTCCCCAGATAAATGCCGCAAGCTGACTACTCACCATTGCGAAGAACCTTCAGTGCCGCTGACCTCCAACAGGTCATAATCATCCTCCAGCTGAAAGTCAGAAAAAACCAGGGCAATGGTGTCTCCTGGCTCAGCCAGCACAGTCCAGGTGCAGTCGGCATTGTTGTTATATTCAGATGGGTAATTGGGAGTAGTTATCACCCCACTCTGGCCCCGCAGTGTCCCTCCACATCCGTCATCCGCTGCAGAGAGAAACAGAGTTGTGAAAGAATTAATATCAGAAGAAAAATCTTTGCAAAACAAAAATAATCACAGACACGTGAGTGTGAGGTGTACCGATCGCTGAATGTGTACAGAGGGGTTGCGCAGATAGATAATGGTGGTGGGGATTAACGTTGGTCGACGTGTTCGGCAACAACTCGTCACTCAAGGTGATTTTTATATAGTTTCTCTACGTTGGTAGTAAAATGATAGCATTATTATGAGGTTGATAATAAATGAAATCTGCCTTGGTATAGTGTCACACCACACCCTCACACCCACATATAACCAGTACTTGCAACACAAGTTTATTCAAGGACTTACATGACCTTTAGAGTTATTGTGTGTTTGTGTGTGTGTTCGGAACAGTTACTTTGATCCATCGTAATCATCAAATGATTAAAAACAGGAGGACATTTGTGACTGCTGATTTGATTTTTTAAATCAAAGCGTAATGTGACTGTGCGTGTGCAGGCACGTTCATTTATTTCGTCTCCTTAACTTTTTTTGTTTTTTCCCCACGGTTCTCCACTGTGTGTGGGAACCGCAATTGAAGAGTGCAGGAGTGACAGGTGAGATATTTTACACAGAAAGGGCAAAACAAACTGGCAAGAATCTGGTAAGGACAAAAATGCTTTGATCTCATACTCTTTTAGCTGTTCAGCTGATATCCATCCACTTATGTTAACTAAGCTAAATCTATCAGCTGTGAAAGTCAGCATCAAAATGTTACTTCATACTGAAAGTGTGAAATAAACTCCTGGTTTGCATGTTTGTCTTTCATTCATGCCTTATTTTTTTGTGTTTGGGAACACACATTGTGCGTCATGGAGGGTGGATAGTACTACCCCAGGGGTGCATGTCAGCCTTCCATGCTGCCCACACCAATGCTATTGGTAATCAGAGATGCCACAAAGAGATATGAGGAGTCAGGAAACCCTAGTGTACAGACAACTGGCAAGCAGCTGGCGAGCGAGGTAAGTTAAACGCTAATAAACAAACTGCAGCTTAACTGCAGTCAAAGGTCACGTTTGACTGTTGAAGCTATCATAATAAAATTTGATGGGGTAGTTTCTGGCTTACACAAAATGAGTTCATATTGACAAAAATCCCTCTCAAACATGGTTAATGCCTTTTGAAAATGGACGCTATTTATATATTTTTATTCTCCTATCAGGGTCTTGGAAGCAAACTTTTCCAATGACAACAATTATATGATTTATTTCAACATCTTCCAAAATTATATTCTATAACTTTTTTAGTCCATTTCTTTGGAAAAGAACCTAGGCGGTACCGTAAACTTTCCACCTGTTAGGAATACATTTATAAGATATACAAGGTGAATATCATGTAAGAAGAGAACTTTTAATTAAGGATTTTCCAGTATACTGATTGATACAGGACTGCCAACAAATATGAATGCAATTACTGAAGAAAGGCTAATAGGACAAGAAAACATCAGCACACAGATGAAAACATCTGTAGATGTCTCAGTTTCCATGACACCAAACAAACAAACTATCTTGAAACTGTTTTGAGACCAGCATCATAAAACTGTTTCAATTCATTTTTTAAAAATTCCTACAATCAGTCGACCCCCTGTGAATGAGTGCTTGGCAACAGTAGGAAGGAAAAACTCCCTTTTAACAGGAAGAAACCTCCAGCTGAACAACACTCAAGGAGAGGCAGCCATCTGCCACAACCCATCAGAGGTGAGGTACACTGGGGGTTACTCACCACTTTTAACATAGAGAGTGAAAAGTGATAAGCCAAGAAATGCTCAGTGCGTGATGGAAAGCCCCCAGCAGCCTAATATATACCATAAGAACCACAAGTAAGCCTGCAGTCTGAGAGCAAAGTGTTCTGTCGGGGTGATATGGTGCTTTGGATAAAGTCTTCAATAAGATGGGGCTTGATTATTTAAGAACGATGATGTGAAGATTTTAAATTTGACTCTGGATTTAACACGGAACCACTGACCAGCAACAGATATGGCTTCCTAGCCTTATTTATTGCAATTTACAGTAACAATAATAATAATATTTTTTCCTCTTTTTTTACATTTTATTTATTTTTTGGCTACACATTATCTTTCTGCCGCAGGCTCAATTGCATATTTCCAAGCTCAGAAGCATGAAATTGTGTAGTGAGTTACAGCATATTGTTCCTTTGTCTGCAATTTTTGCCATAGGCCAGAGAGAAAGAAGTCATAGGATTTCAAAATGCCCTACAGTGCTCTTACAGTCGTCAGGAAGCGGGGAAAGCAGCATGATGCAACTTAATGCAACGTGGGGGGAAGTGATTAAATTCTGATTAATTCAGATTTGTGTTAATCAAAGCAACTCTTTCCCGCCTCAACGGTGCTTTAAGGAGATCATTAAATAATAACGCATGCATTTAAAATGTTGCCAGGTTAACTCCCCATGCCAGCTTCTGATATGTTCATTACAGCTGTGAACAATGCAGCATGTGACACTGCCTGAAATACAGCCTTCTTTCATTTATAGATCAGTTCACAAATCTGTGAACAGAGGGGACACGTCAAAAGAAGTTTTGAACGACACTTCCACAGTACTTGTGAAGGGTGTGTGTGTATGCGTGCATGTGTGAGTGTCTCTGAGGACATATCTGCATCACCGTGGAGTGGGATTCATTATATCGAGTGGCCAACTAGCTGTGTGTGGCGGTAAAGAAGGGAGGAGGAGATCAAAAGTGTCTGGCCCTGTCTATCATCCACTCTACCTGTCACCACCACACTCCCCCTGAGGGAGGGCAGGAGAGTGTACGGGCGAGTGGAAACCTGTGAGGTGTGAACCTCAATAGAAGGGAAACTACGACAGAAGGGGGAAAAGAAGGGGATGAAGAGGATGACAGGTGACATGCGAGGCTGGGTAAGGGAAAAGTGCAGAAGGAGAGTGGACGATGAAGAGAGAAGAGAGGCGCATGGCGGGAGGGGCGAGAGGTGATCGTTGCAGTTGGAGTGACAGGAAGTAGAATGCAGACAGAAAAAAGGATGAGGAAGTGCATTGATATTCCACACAGGACTGTTTCTTCACACTTGAAGGGAAGTCTCCGACTCCTCACTCTTGCCTTCACCTTGACTTTTCCCCGTCACTCTCTGAATTTTTGCAGCCGGCACCGGCCGATGCAAGCACTGTACGACAACGGAGCCAAAGCGGGTTGTACCCACAGAGTATATGAAGCAAAAGCCCGCTCCCCAAAAAACTTCTGAACCGTTCAGTATGTGAGGTGTGCAGAAACTTATTTAATTTTTTTCTTCAGTCAATTGTAGATGTCAGACTGCTTCCCACGGTTGAACAGTGCATTTTTCAGCCTGTCACTTAGGATGTCATGGTTCTCTATTAAATGTTAGGAGCTGCTTCGATTGCTCTGAGAGTCATGGCAAGATATAAGACATAAGCATGACTGATGCATGCAAGCTATAAAAACACATTAGTGTTTAATATGCATCCAGAAATCAATCCTTATATAAGACCAGCAGAAATCGTGAAAGCTATATCTGGGACTTTCTAATTACATGTGACCGACTACAACTAAAAGTCAGAGTGTCTTTGCAATAAGCAGGATAATGGATGCGTACACACCAAACATAAAAAGTTGTGTCAGTGTGATGCTGCAGGTATGTGCACTGACATTTAGAACTTGTCAGAAGTAAGCTTATTTCTGGAAAGATATGCAGCAAAAAAAAAAAAAATAGCAAGAGAGATGAGGCGTGGGTCTGAGCACAGAAAAGCTCAGAAAAGGGCGACAGTGGAGATGGAAAGGGTGTTAAAATCTGAATAAAAGACTGATGTTAAATCCTTTATAAGTGTACTCATATGATAAGCAATGACATTTCTCACAGCTAAAGAAAAAAACAAATTGGGCACAAGACAGGAAATGTAAAACATTATCTGTGTCATCAACGGCTGGCTTATCATCTTTGGCCCGACAGTGCTGGCACGTTGGTCCTCTCCTGTGTCCAGAATGGTGACTGTGCCAAAATGTTCTCTCTGCTCCCAAAGTACAGTGCAAGTTCTGCTCTAGCACATATGGGCAGGCTCTATAATTGGAGTGACATTAACAATACACTTATGCATTATGAAGGAGCACTCAGGTGTACATGTTGACTTTTATGTGGCACCAGGAGACCTCAATTAATCACAGGGGAAATTGCCAGTTTCTAAAACTTGTTGGCGTGTAATTTCTGCTGAAAAGGTGACATAATCACATCCTTGAGTGCTTGAGTGATTTTTTTCCCCCCCAGGATGGAGCCTTGGTGGGAATGGGGTGAGGAGATTGACAAAGCTGAATTGGGGTCTAAACAGAAATTCTCTAGGAAGCAAACAGAAATGAAAGAGCGGACAAAGTTATCGTCAAGAAAATATAAATTACAAAGAACCGTGATTTTGAAATGCATGCAAAATAATCTCCCATTTTGATGTGGAGAAAAGGCATGTGCATGTGCCTGCGTGTGATAGGGAGGGTGGGGGGACTGTGCTGGCGCGTGGTGCCCAGCCATGTGTGCTCCTATGTGGGCTTCCTGACTCCCGGCATGGCTGCAGATGGCATAGAGTCTCAGCGGTCTGCTCAGCAGGCGCACTGACACAAACCGTTGGCCACACGGACACAGTGACACACACACACACACACACACACACACACACACACACACACACACACACACACACACACACACACACAAGAAAGCAAATGAATATAGATGGTCAAGCAGTTTTCTAGGAATTAATCTTTTATTCAAAGACCAATCTTGTAAACTGAAGTATTATAGTGTCACTTTTGCCTACAGTGTAAGTATTTTCAAGAATCCTCATGTTGTGGCAGACAACATGCACTGGCAGGTGTCGCTGCCACAGGGATGCTTGCAGGGAAGGACAACTGGCACGAGCGCCTGACTGGGAGCTAACACATGAGGTCCTGCCATGGTAAATAAGATATCAGAATAACCACCGAAAACCAGTGTCAGGTCATGTAGAGGCATGTGTAAATATACTGTATGTCGGTGCATGTGGGCTGGAGAAGCTGGTTTATCCACCTGGTGGAGAAAAGACTAAATGAGTGAGACCGATTGCTCTTCATTCCAAAAACAAGGTCAGTTATTTTTTATAGCAACTAGTAGATATAACCAAAGCAGATTTCTTGTTTCTTTTTCTTCTTTCTTTTAAACAAAGAATGAACTTTTTTCCATAAAAATAAATGAAAGACCTCAAATATCTCTGAAGAGTTCACGCAAAAGCACTGAAAACAGATTCAATTAACATGTAAAAATTTAGCCAAAAGGTCTCTTATAACAGACGGCCTTCTGCTGAGCTTCCTACTTACCTCTGCAGTAAGGAAGGGGGAAATCCCAGGCAGCAGTACCAGCTGAAGTGGCAAGGCAGGACAGGGTGGTATGACCCTCTAGTACATGGCCCGGGCTGCAGCTGTAGCGGATCTTGTCCCCGATATTAAAAGTAGACCCCTGCTGGTGGCCGTTGAGTAGCTTTCCAGGATTACCACAAGTGTAGCTGGGCAAAGCTGTAGAAATAGAAGGGGGGGGAGAGAAAACTGACAGTAAACGAGGCGGGTTGTGGTAAAGTATGTGGCACTGCATCACGTTAGCACTGCCAAGGGCCAGAAAACGAGGGAAAGTCTGATGACAGATAACGACACACAGAGCCATCTGTTCATGGCAACATTTCTGACCCAAGCAGCAACATCTTTCCAAAACAAACAGATAAACAGATAAAATCGTATCTTCTGAGATGTGTGCACATAGTTAAATGTAGTAGCAGAGCTCCGACAGAAGTTGACATAGTCGAGAAATTCCAAATGCACTAAGTGCTGTTTTACCTATCAGGGTAGTCGCTTGAGCACGCTATGTTGACCATCACTGCTTGTGCAATCATGTAGGTGCATGCAAAGGAGCACGCTCACTATTGGTAGAACCTTGACTAATTATGTATTATTATGTAAATCAAGTTCAGAGGAAGTTCAGCCAATCTCGTGTCTGTGAGCTCATGTTATGTTCCAGTGAAAGACACAGTTTCCATGTACCTTAATGACTTACGCCTGAACAGCTAAGTCACACTGCTACAGTACTATATAGGAGTGCAGTGGATTAGAGCTTTGCTCTGCATTTCAGACAGTAAATCCTTAGAGTGTGAGCAAAAGGGCAATGACCAAACAAACATCATACACACACACACACACACACACACACACACACACACACACACACACACGTACTCTGTGTCACCCAGCTTACTGTCCCGGTCACACACTCCCACACAGCGAGGGACCTGGCCAGAACATGTGCTGGACTTTGGATGAAGCTCAGTCCCTCAACAGGAACTGGGTTGAACTCCAGCGAGGACAGAATGGCTCCTACACAGAAACACAGCTCGCTGGCACCTCGCCATCGTGCTCAAACCACACTCAAGTTTTTTTTTATCCTATCTAATGTCTCCAGCTCTATAACGTATTACCAAAAAATAAATAAATAAAATATTTTTAGTCTTCTCTTACTGACTGCCCAAGAAAAAAGCATGTCTTAAGAAAATTTTGCCTTTTCTTTAATTAGAAAATGTTTGTCATTTGTTTAAATAACTAGCTCTTAACATTCATAAAGACGAGTGCATGACTGGCATGTTAAGATGCTTCTTGTGATCCTTTTCTTGGGAAAAAATATAATGCAATGATCTTTTTGTTGTGCTGCTTTGACACACAAGAAATGCTTTAAGTCAAACCCTAAAAGCCCCTTTTTATCTTTTTTTTCTTTTTCTTTCTTGTGATTGTTTGTTTTCATGTTTCAGGTTTCCTCACTCTAGTCTAAGCTAAAGACTTGCTTACAGCAAGGTCTAACAAGGACGGATCAATCATTTCACCCCATAGTGCATTCTACAGAGCTTGAGCTGTGGAATTAACTGGCTGGTAAATAAACTGCAAACAGTTTGTGTCCAGTCCACGCAGCAGACAAAAAACATGACCTCTACGAGTGCGATTTGAAATGTCTTTGTGTGTGTGCGAGCATACTCTGCTACTCCCAGGTGTGAAGCTAACGGAAAGAAAATGTTGTTAATGTAAGTAGCTTATTACAACTTTTAGTTAAGTTTTAAAATGTGTCACAAGCCACTTTATGTACCGGTATATTTTAACCTAAACTATAGTCTCTTGTTAACCTTAACCAAGTAGTTTTGTTGCACAGATGTAACAGCAAGCGAAAATAAAAGTAAAACTAAACTTAAAAATAGTCTCACACAAACCCCGGGCTCCTTCTCGAACATCATGTGTGTTTTTGACACCGCCAACCTCGCCTTCCTCCTAATTTTATTCCTCATTTTAAGCTGAATACATTATACAGTAGTTCAAGTCAGGATTGCCTACAGCTGTTTTTTGCAAGTGCACTGCAGCTCTGAACTTTTCCAGACATTCCAAGTCAGACATTACACTGTTTAAAATGCATGCACCCTGGTTCTTGTGACGTCTGATACCCATGATTTGCGTCAATGTAAGATTATTGCAGTTATCTGTCCTGTACACCACAGCTACCGAGTGGGTGCCCTGCCCACTGCATGCTTTACTAAGCAGACACCTTTTTCTAAAACCGCAGTGTTTCCAGTAGCTAGAAAGCGGCTGATGCAAACTGCACCCCGCTGTGTGCTAGACGTTGTCGGAACATTGTCTGAGAGACAACTTCAGACAGCTTTCCAACCGTATCCTCCTGACATTTTCAGGAGTTTATATGTGTAAACAGCTTACATGGGTTGATTCAGATGGTAAGAAAAAAAAATATGATTGCGAAGGTGGAACTCATATCTAAGTCATGGTTAGATACAAATTTTAACTGTCTGTGTTCATATTTGCAGGACTTAAAATCATAGCATGAGCAAGATTTCTTAAAGAAACACAATAAGGCATCTGCTTAAAGATATTCATTGTAAATTCCTGTGTTTAAAAATAGTTTCAAAACTTTGAAAACTAATAAAGGTTATTAACAGAATGTGAAGACACAGCCACTTTGTATGTATTGTGTTGAAAGGATATTAACTGAAGTCAAACTGGTCAGGCTGTGCCTTTATGCAATACCATTTGTACCACTAAGAGGTGGAGAAATAATCCTAAATTAAGTTCACATCAAGCGATAATGAGATAAAAAAAACAAAAAAAAAAAAAACAGAAGGAGAGTCTGGGTTTGTCCAATTCTCATGAGAAGGCAGGAGCAGGAAGAATTTCAGTTTGAACTCTTGTTGGCAGAGGTGGGACCACACGTGAGGAGGCAGAGAAATCATTTCAGAGAGCCGATTGACCCGGAGAAGTGTCGAACTGTGTGAACTTTAAAAAAATGTAAAAAATTGGCAAATCTGTCCAGCAAAATTATGTGGCCAGTGCGAACGGCTGCCCTATTAAGATAGGATAAGTAGGTGAGTCTGATCCATATTTGTAACATGCAAAATATTCACATGGGTTTTATGTGTCTGGTGTATAAAGGCCTTAACAGGTAAAACACTGCCCCTTGTGGTCAACGTTTGAATTAAACTCTGCACTGAATCTTTACATAAAGTATCTTCATGTTTAATTTTCATATTTGGAAGAAGGTATTTTTGACTGACAGAATAAAAATTACTTTCATTTGCAAATGTCAGAGAAAGTTAATACATTCCAGTATTTATACATTGGATCCGTAGATGCACAAATATACATAAAAGCACCAACACACTGTGTAAAGTGATTATGGAGCACAGGGCTGAATGGGTTGGTCTCACCATGTCAACCAGAATTCCCTGATTAAATGAGTCAGTATGTTTGCTATCTATGGATATGCCCTGGCTTTAACACTGTTAACCAACAGCAAAACATCTGAGCCAATTCCACACCCCTAACATTTCCCTATTCTTCTGAAGAGGGGTTTTAAGAGTAAAACCAGTAGTGACTCACAGCTGCACTTTGCACTTCTGGCTCCATCAGTGATTTCACAGCAGGTGTTTCCCATCATCTGTTGAAGGCAGAACACCTGCTCACACGCTAAAGATGCCCTACGCGACTTGCTGCTGATTTACCTTTTAAAATACCTGGTTAGTACTTTTGTACTCTCCCTCTGGCACAATCCACTACTCTAATGACAGGCTGACTTGTCAATTCCCAGCCTTTATTTTGACCAGCCGATGCTACCTTATTACAGCTTCCCTTCCAACATTACCACATTAGCATATACACAAGGACTCTGCTGGATTAGCATATTAGCTGCTGGGACTGACTTTTTTTAGTGCTGCAGTTTGGCCACAGGGGGCTCTGTTGCCAAGCAGGAAATGGTTTTGACCCTGTCATTAAACCATGTGAGTCTGAATCAAAGTCACTGTGAGTGTTTGATACTGAAGGCAAAGGATAGAGGAAGACAGAAACATGGAGTGATGCACAGGAACAGAGCTCATTCTTACAGCCGACAGTTTGACTTGAGTAAATAACAGCATCAACACTGGCTGCGTTCCATTTTAGATGTGCCAGTACTAGAGCCCTGATATTGTACATGTTGGCTTACCGGCATGCCTAAATGGAACGGAGCCATCGGTAATGTTATTAGTTACACCTGTGCTTTTCCTTCTTACAGTCAGAATGTCTGTGAGGTCTATTTTTAGACTGGGATGACAGATGCGTGAGAAAAAGACGGCATGAACACAGACTGGATGTGTACATTTGTGTGTCTGCAAAATAGTGACAGAGACAGAGAGATGAACCAGCTGGCTGATTTCACTGAATTAAAAATGACTGAGGGTGCAGCACTGTCAGAGTGGAGATGTGTTAAGTATGGGAATGCATGGACTCTAATACACATCCATGTGTGTCTCTGTGTGTCTGCACGTAATAATCCCATCACACTCTTCATTTCAGGTTATTAGTTTGGGCAGTAAATTAAGTCTAATAGTGCCATTACCCATGCAATCCCCAAACAGGGCTAGGCCTGGAGCGCAGATATAGCACATACATTTTTAACCTGCCGGTGAATCATCAATATTGCCTTTACTCCCACAATGTGAAGCAGTTACCAATGAGCAGCAGGATAGAAAAAGATGTATTTGCTTCGCACAAAGGAAGCGAAATGAAGTTTTTGTCTTGGCTTTGCTATTCTCCCTTTGGAATGCTCCAGAAAACAAAAATACAAGTTGAGCAAAAGTGACGCCTCTCTTTACATAACAGAAAAAAACTAGAATACCGAGGCAGCGGTGTATAAAGACAACCAGCATTTAAAAGCTCATTTATCACAGTCTGTTCCATTCATACCTGCAGGCTAAATCCTAAACATAGAAAGTAAGAAAATGGGAGAAGCTTGAGGGGGGGGAAAAGCAACATAACATTTTAAATATTTGTTCACTTTTTTCTCCTTTAACTTTACATGTTTTTATATATCTGAATTATTTTCCACACAATTTACAGCTTTCATAAGGAAATAAAGCAGGCCTTAGTAGTTCCTGTTTTCAAGAAGAGACATGCATTTCTTCCACAGAGTTTGGCTCATGTCGTTATATGGACTATTCCTTTCC